TGGTGCACGTCTGTAATCCCAGCACTTGGGAGACTGAGGCAGGAGGATCGCTGTGAGTTTGAGACCAGCCAGGCCTACATAGTGAGTTCCAGGGCAGTCTCAACTACATAGTGTCTCAAAAAAAACCCACAAAAATCCAAAAAACAAAAACAAAAACATCAAGAACTCAACAAATAACAAATGCTACTGAGACTGTAGGAAAAGAAACCCTTCTACACTGTTGGTGCAAATGCAAAATAGTTAACTGTTAGGGAAAGTCAATATGGCAATCCCTTAAAAAACTAAAACTAGAAATTCCATTCGCCCCAGCTATACCTCTTCTGGGTAATTTCCACAAAGTGTTAAAGACATCATTCTACAATGATACATACATATGCATGTTTACAGCAGCACAACTCACAATAGCTAAATCCAAGAGATTAATGATAAAAAGTGTGGTGTATATACACAATGGGGTATCACTAAGCCATAAGGTAGGATAAATGTGAGTTATTTGTAGGAAAATGGATGCCACTTGAGACCATAATGCTCAGTGAAATAAATCAGACACAGAAAGTTAAACATTACATGGTTTCTCTTATGTGATGTCTTTTCATTTTCCTCATTGCTAGGACAAAGTACCTGACTCCCACAACCTAAAGAAGAAGAGATTTGTTTTTGCTTATAGGTTAAGAAGTTTTGGTCCATGTTTGTCAGGATTAAACACAGACACAGAATGGCAGAAGGTCCTTGGCAGAGGAAAGCTGCTTACATCATGGTGGCCAGGAGGCAGAGAGAAAAAGGAAGAGCTGGGAGTGACGTGTACCCCTGTAGGTCATGTTCTCGGTGACCTCCCTTTTTCAACCAGCCCTGACCTCCTAACAGCAAGTCAGCTATATGCCTCTATCGTTCAGCCATCTTCCAAAAGTCTGCCTATGAGTGCATGAGGCTTTTGGATGACATTCTTGATTCAAACACACATCTGAGAAATCCACAGTATCGATAATTTAAAGAGAAAATACAAGACAGATGATAGAAAACGGGGAGGGAGACTTTGTGGAGATGGGAAAGTGTGCTGCATGAATGGTAGAAGATGGTAGGGGTAGGGGAAGCAGAAGGAGGAAGAATTAAGATGTGATGAGTATATGTACCAACCTCCCACAATACATGTATTTATTATGGTTTCAAACATGTACTAACAGAAAAGAAAAATAAAGCCCTCAAAAAAACAGAGTTCTGACAGTTCTGCACCCATCATTCGGATTCGAAGTCTTTCCAGATGCTTATTTGCCATCTTTGTTAGATATTTACTTTATCCTAGACTAAGGAAGTTGAGGGTATTTGTGTGTTATCACTTGTGCCTCACCTTCCTCAAGCAAATGGGCTGGCTAGAAGAATGGTGCGGTTTGAAGACGCTGCTGGGCTCAGGATGGTAAAACTTGGCAGGTTTCTCCTCAGTCAAATCACACCTCCACTCAGTGATTCAATCTTGCATAATAATGAATTGGCGGAATTGGGAGACTGCTGGACAGTTCTGTGAAGGGTCAATTACTGACGTCAAGGGAAATTATAACTATTGCTGCACCACGCTTAATGTACACACTTAATGCTTTTATGGGAAGGACATCCTTGCTGGCACTATATGGTTGCACAGTGGGTGTGTTCTTGTTTCCACAACTGAGATTATGAAATTTTTATCTGAAAATGGTCACAGTAGTATGATGAAGGGGTACCATTTTGAAGTTGAGCTTGCCTGGATGATTTGAAACAACAGAACAAATGAAAATATTTCTCCTGGAAGCTCATGATGCTAATATTTTAAGTATATTTCTCTAGAAGTTATCAGATTTTTAATGTTATAGGAATCATATATTTATTTACCCTATTGTTGTCAGAGACATGTACCCAGTAATTTCATACCAGCAATTGTAAGAGAAAGCCTTGGCACAGGTCACCTGTCTCTCTTTGCTGATTAATAATGTTAGAGGGATCCTCAAATATACTATACAGAACATGATTGTTCACTTTTAGTATTGTATTCCTTCTGAGTTTAGAAAGTGTAGTCATTGACAAAGCTGTGGAATCCCGAGTAGCTTCAAAGTAAAAAAATTACCATTTAGTTGAAGACTTGCTTGTGTGTTTCCAAGACAGACAAACTAGCATTTATTTTCTATTTAAATTTAGGTTTTAGCAAAATGTTTCCTTTTTTTTTATTTCTTACATTTTCCTTCTTTCCCCTTTATTTTATATGATTTTAAATGCTCTTTGACCTTTACTGAGAACAATATTCAGTGGATGCTTGACTTACAAACTCAATTCATTCACGAGGGCTGGTTGTAACTCAAGGTGGTCATTTGAAGGCTCAGGCTCCTCTACACAGCCTTCAAAGTTTCCCATATACAGTCCAATGTCAGTGTTCTTAAAGAGATATTGGCTCAGGATTTTTCAAATAACCCCACACAGAAAAGGGTGTAATGTTCCTCCCAGAACTCTTTAAGGGTTAAATCTGTGTCTGAGACTATTTAGAAGCACAAGCAGCCAGCATTCAGGTCATAATTTAAGACTTTGGTTGTAAGTTAAACCTAAAATTCTAGGACCAGGGGTTTAGCTCAGTGGTGCTGTGCCTGCCTCATAAATGCAAGGTCCTGAGTTCAATCCTGTGTACCAAAAAAATCAAAAAACAAAAACAAAAAAGAAAACCCACTAAAATTCTGGTCATAACCCAAGTTGTTCGCGTGCCAGGCTGGTTGTAACGTGAGGATCTGCTGTATTTTGTCAGCTTTATGTAAATTAAAAATCAATATTAATGACAGTATAAATAGCATTGTTTAAATGTCTTGTTGGCAGAGTGATCTTTGGGAAATGAGTATTCGAATAACGTGAGCATTTGAGTAGCTTTTGGGATGAAAATATCCTGAAACTGGATTTTGGGGATGGTTGCATATCTCTGTAAATATACTTAAAACCATTGAATTACACATCTGAAATGGGTGGACTTTATAATACATTAATGTATACATATAATATGTAAATGTATTTTAATCTTTTAAAAACTAAATTTGTCTTTTTTATGATGATTTCTGCCATTAGTGGGCTTCAGCTTCCAGAAACAGAAAAAGTTTCAACAACCCATTTAGTTCAGGTTTTGGTGTGATTATGCAGGTGGCAGTTTCAGTGTAATACTAAATATTCAATGCAATTTCCAGGCAGCAGTTCATCCTAGTGTTACTATGGATGGCAATTACTTTGTTATACATACTAGTTAAAGCATCAGAGATTTGACATGACTTACTTCTTTGATCATTTAAAGCACTTAATACCAGGAAAATGTTCCTCTTACTCACTTGCATTTCTTTTACTTTCTAGGTGGAGTTACAAAAGTACATTGGGAATTGCTTATAAACCCACAAGATGCGTCACACGTTTCCATCACATATCATGTGTCCTATTGGTAAAATAAAAAAGCCTGAGAAGTCTAAGAGAACTACTCATGGTGTCACCCACGCTACCAAGTGAAGAAAGCCCGTCATTCTTTGTACACTGCTCAATTCTCCTATTTCTTCATTCCCTTTTGCAGCCTGAAATGATGAGACAGCGTTGTTTCCTGAACTCACCTTAGCATGAAAGCATTTACGTTGGAAGTACCTAACATTTTGAGGAGCACAGTGTTCTTAGTACTCAGGAAAATGCTGCTTTGTGAGTTCCTCTTGCCTGAGGCAGCCAGCGTCTCAGTGGGAGAGGATGGGAACCTAAAGCACACCCAGTTTAGAGGCATGCTTATTCATATGTAAACGCAGAAGGGAGCAGCTCCGGTACTCCTCTGCGTTTTGGGTACTCCGGAGGACATCTTGTAGCCTTAGACAGCAGCTGTTTGGGGAGGAGCTTCTTAAATTGTAAGTAGGTATGAGTTGCCTGTTTAAATGAAAATTTTTAATTATTGTGTTTGAGGTCGGGCTCAAGAGTCTTCATTTGCAACAAGTTCTCAGAGGACATCCAGAGACTGTATTTTAATAAAAGTTTTAGTTACAAGGAGAGTAGTTCAGAGACAAAAATGGAGGGGTGCTACGGAAGCTCACTAGTTTCTTCTTCCGTAAGTCAAGAGCACAGGTTCTTCTGCTGTAGGAACCATTTCGACATATTCAAAACCTTAACTTCGGGCTTCATCAAAATGTACTGACCCTAATTATATATTCACTTTCTATAGAAAAATAAGAATAAAACATTGTAGGGGATCTCTACAACTAGTTCAATGATCTATAACGCTAAATAAAAGCCATCAGGATATTCTCTGTTCATCTCGGTCTCTATAATGCGTGTCCCCAAAAGGCAGGGATTCGGATACACTGGAGGAGAATGTGGCAGCGGCTTGTGTATTTTTGCTTATGCACCCTTTAGTATGCTTGACTGCTAAATAGAGACCACATTTAAAAAGATTTTAATGATTGCCAAATAGACATTCCTTTTAATTTGAGTGGAGGAATGTATACCAGGTTTTAAACATTAGTTATAACACTTAATATTTTGAGGACAGAGTGGGAAGGAAGGAAATGAGGTTCTGTGAATGATGGAGTAGAAGAAAGAGATCAGTGAATTTACAGGTTAAAGAAGTGAAAAAGTCTACCATTAAAGGGGGTAAAGCATGCAAATCATTTCAGCACAAATGAGTGAAATAAATCAGAGGAGATAACAGAGTACCAAATCAAAAAATGCACAAAAACTGTTCTCTTGGGGTCACAGATTGAGAGTTATTACCAGTAACATGGCGAGGTAGGGTGGACTGGAGATTGGAATTAGAACTCCATTGATATTTACCAGGGTTAGCTCTGTTTAATTATTATGTCTAGTAAATGCTAACTGTTTGCCTAGAAAAATTTAACAAATAAGGTGGTTTCTCGTGAATCATGGGCCAAACCTTAGTTGTTTGAAATGCTCTTGAGTAATATTTAATTGCATCAATATGTTTTTTTAAAAATCTTGTACTCAATCCCTTCTGAATTTAATCCCAGAGGCTTCTTGCCCAGATTGCTTTCAGAAGCAGAAGAAAGAACTGAGCTGCTTAGTATCATTTTTCCAGAATGATTTTGTGTCATAATGAAATGAGCAGAGCTTCACAGTCTGTGAAATGAGTATTTTTTGACCCTACAATAGAACATATTCATCTGAGCTCATAGAAAATGTAGCAGATGTGTTCTTTATTCTGGGAGGCCAAAGGCACAGAGAAGGGCAGGGGCCTCTAGAATCAGGTAAGCTTCTTTGGACTTTATTTTCTATTTTTTCACTGAACAAAGAGCCAGTGGGTTTTCTCTCTTCTCTGCTTCAGATTGGTGGTTCCTTCTCACTCTATGACTCTTCGTTGGGACAGATTCTCCCACCTCATCTACATATGCTCCTTGAAAACACTTTATTCTCTTGCAAGGGTCTGTCTGCTCACACATTTACTATCTGTATCTTCATCTCGGTCACACTCCAGTGGACTGTAATCTCCAGGAGAGTCAGCACAGTATAGTAGTAAAAAGGACAGACTCTGAATCTAGGTTACTTGGATTCTAATCCCATTTCTGCCATTTATGGGAACCTTGGAAATCAACTTATTTTTCCTTTTCTTTATCTGAAAAATGGAGATAATGATAGTAATTACCTCCAGGTTGCTGTAAACATAAATGAGTTAAAAGTTTGTTAACACAGGTAGAATAATGTATGGCACTTGGTCGGCTTTATGTCAATGCTAGCAAATCAAATATGTGAAAAGAGGGGACTGATTGTGATTGTGGTTTGGTTTTCACTGTGTTTCCTGAACTTTTCATGAAGTAAATCTGAAAGCAAGGAGATGAAGTACATTCTGGATGGAAGGCTCTGTCTACTCTGCGCATGGCCATGCATTTAAAATGATCACGAAGAGCTGTGTACCTAAGGGAGTTTTTTTCTGTATCCTGAAGAAATGCATCTGTTTACTGTTTCTTCTGTTTTATATAAAAATGCCTATCAAATACTGGCCCTTATGGAGACCTGTATTTTTAATCACTACATGGGTAATACAGAAAGTATAATAGTGATACAGTATCACTATAGTACAGTAGTAATAACCATGGACTTTGTAATCACATGGGGTCATGTGACCCTGAAAAGTGTCAAAACCTCTTTGAGATTTAGTTTACTCAATCAAAAAGTAGAGGTAATCAAGTACTCTAGCATGCTGTAAGGACTCAATGACTGCAAGTTCTATGTATTTGTTTCTATAATGAGTTTTGCTTTAGCTGAAAAGAATATAATGTTTAACTTGTGATGGAACTGGTATTCTCTTTATTATTTTATTTTAACATATTTGACATTTAATAAAAATTATAAATTTTTTGGTTGTACGACCTAGTTTTTATACTGACATTTTATAAGATTGGTAGCATTTTGTAGCTCTCAGGATGCCAGCCTCGGAATGTCAGTGAGGGCCTGTGGCTCCCCAGCAGTCACCTTGCCTTTCCTGTTCAGCAGGTGCACAAACTGATCTGCTCAGGGTTTATGTGGGCTACAGAGGGCCTGGCATCTTGACTTTTTCATCTGTGTTCTTTCTTTTTTCACAACGCAAGACATGGTGGATAGAATGTTGAATAAATGAATAGATATTGAGTACTTTTAATATTCTGCTAAGTGCTGAGGACATTTTTAAAAATGACCAAAGAGCTGTCCTTGCCTGAAGGCACTCATGGCTTCCTGAGAGAAGAGAAAGCTTCCTGGAAGCATTTCATTTTCATTGAATCATCCCTCTTCACTGGAACACCCTTTCCTTACCTTTTTCTGATGACATGCTCTTTTTTTTAATCTTTCTTTACCTACCTCTACTTTAAGTATCTTTTGCTAGTCACCTCTCCTCTACATAATGGTCCTCTACTCATCTTTAAGTGTCTAGAGTTGCTCCATGCTCCACTAAGGTGTTCTCCTTTCTCTCTCATTGATATCATTCAGTCATTTTAATTATCACTTAAGCCATGATTTCTCAAATCGTTGTGTGCATAAACATCAGGTTTAGAAAAGTGCAAATTCCTGGCTCTAACACCAACTCAGACAGATTGTTTTAGTAGGTCTGCTCAGAAATGAGTTCTTCATTAATTTAACAAGTATCCTGGGAGATTAAGACAGGGAAGGATTCCTCAAAGTTTACACTCAGAAAGACACTTATCTGACATGATTTCCAGGCTGTGTGATATCTAACTGCACCCTTCATATAACCACTGGGGCTTAGAACCCAACATTTCTAAGGCTGACCTCTTCATCTTCTCCTTTTTAACACTCACACCCTTTCCTTGCCTCATCAAACAGACACTTTTCTGGAATTTTTCTTTCTCAGTAAATGACTCAGAATCCACCAAGTTTGTGGTTGGATTAACTAATGGTCAACTTGGAACACCCAGCTGAACTAAATCAGCATGGTTCTGGGAGTGGAAGATCCACCTGAGGATTGTGGCCAAAATGACATGAAAAGAGAATGGTAGGGCATATTTCTGTTGATTTCCCAGGAGAAGCTTGCTGGGGGTTGGTTTTCCTGATATGAACTCAGCTGATCTCCTCATCCTCAGAGGAGCTCTCTGCTGTTGCTAGGGGTGGCTGCTGTTTTCTTCAGGGGAATTCCGGTCTTCATTGTGTCACTTTCTGGCTCCAGTGCAGATCCCTCAGTCTTCTGGCACAGATCCTTCACCTTGCTGGCACAGACTTTTTAGCTTCCACCCCTGGCCTTTGGACCTCCCCAGTGTAGATCCTTGACATGGGCTTGCATGAGACACTGCTCCAGACAGTAGACCTCTGAGTGGACTCGTGGAGGATGTTACCATGGGATCCAAGCCCTTGACTGGATTCTTTGGGTCTCTCATGCATGGACAGAACTCTTGCACTCTTCTGCATTTGATTTTTTTGAGTGAATGTTATAAGGTAATCCTATAAATTTGTGTGCTGTATTAAACCTAGTCCCTTGCAAAACTCTAACTACAACAAAGTTACTCATGTGGAAAACCTGGAAATCATTCTTGACATCTCTCTTATCCCTGATGTCCAATTGAATGTTCTGGTTTTGGTCTTTGTACTTCCTAGACATTGCTAAAGATTTGTTTCCACCTTCATACTTTTGTCCACTGTTCTTCTCTTCCTTACTGAAAAACTCAACTGGCCTCTAACTGGTCTGCTTCATTAATGAATCTCTACCTTCTTCACAAGGATCATTCTCTACAGGGAGCCGGAATTATTTTTGAAGTATTCTAACACAATAATGTCTCTGTTCTCCTTAAGTCTTTAGCACTTTTTCAATTCTCCTAGGATATAATTTCAGATCATTAATATGGCCGTCTAACATCAGTATGATTTGTTTTCTGCCTGCATTTTAGTTTCTGTTTCAAAAATACTTCCTCAGAGAAACCTTCCATGAACTTGGAGCTTGGTTCAATTCCCTCTATTACAATACTTATTTCAATGTCATCTTCTTAAACAAATCAAAATGAAATTATACATTCTCATGTTAATCATTAATGTTTGTCTTTGGCTTGAAAGGCTATGAGCTCCCATTAAAAATATTCCACTTGCTTTGTTGAGATTTCCACCAAATAAATGTTTTCAATGATAGTTGCTTCCACTCATTTTAATTAAACAAAGCCCTTAAACTTTTCTTTATAGCACTTACCATCACCATAGTTAGATAGTTACTTGCTTATTTAATTTTTTAAGTATCTGTTTTCCCAGTAAGCAACATGACAGCAGGGTTTGGACCTTCTTATTCCAGTTCTGTGTGTAACTTTCTCACACAGATTAAGCACTCAAAAAACTGATATTGGTTCAATAAATGAAATAACAGGAGTAATAAGATAATTACTCTAAATGAGATGTCAAATACAGCATTTAGGTGTGTAAGATTTAAAATGGCTTATTTTGACATACAATATTAAAAGTTACTGTCAAGCACAAGTACTTTAGGCTTCCTGTTGAATGATTTTGGACTTTAGGGACTCTCAGGAACCATCTGCTCTTGGGAACCATCAGTATTGGAAACCATAGGGCTGGATGTACTTACACAGAAATAAGTGCAACAGTGAAAAAGAAGAGGTCATCCTGCAGAGGGCTAAAAATTTAGGGGAGAGGAAAATGAGAAAAATCCAATAATAGAAACTAAGAAAGTTTGAGCAGAGAATGATGTTTTGGAAGCTTTGAAAAGACATATTTCAAGGAGGGAATATTCTGTACCAGCTGTTAAGTAAAATGAACACATAGCCCTGTGTTGCATTTGGCAATATGGATGATGAATGAAGACACCAGCTACTTCAGAGTGGTGGGCATTAGAAGCTCTTTGTAGTGGGTTAAGAGAAACTATGTAAAACTACACATGCACACACTATATGATCAAGAAAACTCGATTTGTATAAAGAGACCAAGTCATTCTTGTATATTGCTATCATGGACCCTTTTAGATATTCAGAGGTACTTTATTTGTAATATCAAACTACCAATAAAGTAAATTATAAGACACTCTTACAATAGAGTATCATATAATTGTGAACGAGTGAACTATTACACACCTTATAATGTATAATTTTGATCTAATTTATTTTAAATGGAGGTAAACTAAACCGTATGTTTTAAGGGACAGAGCCATAAGTGATAAAACCATAAGAAAAATGGAGGGAAGTAAGATACCATGCTCTGTAACAGTTACACTGGGCAGTGGGAGAGAGGAAACCAGTGGACAGCATCGACGGTGGGAGCTCCCAGAGGGTCTTCTAGGATATTAATTACGTTATTTCCTTTAAGTAGGTACTGAATACCCAGGATTTCATTTGTTAAAGAATGTTCCTGTTTTGGTGAAGCCTTTATTCTACTTACCACAGCTGGTAAATATTAAATTGTTTTGCAGGGTGTTTTTGGTACCTGAGATCGGACTCAGGTCCTTGCGCTTATGAGGCAGGCGGCGGCACCACTGAGCTAAATCCCCGGCCTTGTTTTGCAGATTTTTAAAGCATTTAATCCAAATACATTCAGTTACAGATCTCACATCAGACACTGCAGAAATTCAATATGAAGTTTGTGCTAGATCATGTTGACACATACTTACTCACTGTGTAGTCAGGACTAACTTCAGGTGTATGCCATCTTTTGTGTACAATGTTTGACCTGGAAACGACTCAGTAGGTTGTTATTGTGGGTAAGCCCCTCTTTATCAGCATAGCTATAACACAAGAATCCTGCGCCCAGCATCCAGAATAGAACATTGGCA